TCTCTAATGATGATGATGACGTTGTTGTTGTTGATGTTGCTGATGTTTTTGTTGTTAATGTTGTTGTTGCTGATGTTGTTGTTGTTGTTGCTGCTGTTTTTGTTGCTGTTGTTGTTGTTTTTGAAAAATTGTCGTTGTTTTTGCATACAGGTTCTGTTATGATTGTTTTTGTTAAATTAGATGTTAACATGTTCGAAGCATTTTTGTTGTTGTTGATGTTATTAATGTTGTTGTTGTTGTTGCGGCCGCCGATGTTGTTGTTGATGATGTTTTTGGTTAACTTACTTCTATTGGTCAAGTGATGTTTTGGCGAAATGATTTTATTGGTGACGTCACTGTCGTTTGAAACAACAACATTATTTTTGCATTTGTTATTATTATTATTACTGTTTTCGTTGTTGACATTTGCATAGTTAGTTGAAGTATTGTTGCTGGTTTGTTGAAAATCATTTTCAACACTGCCGACAGCTTCTTCTTCATTATCATCATCATCATTTGCGTTGTCGTCGTCATCATCATTCTTATTAATGTTGTTGTTGTTGTGACAATTTTTATTCAATTTTTTGGTTGTCGTAACGCTCTTCCTATTGATAATCATGTTGGCCGAATGGTTGTCAGCACGTTTCAAACCAAATTTTAAAATGTTGCTTGACGATGTTGATGATGATGTTTTTGTTGACGATGATGACGATGATGATGACGTAACATTCATGACGTCAGAACTGATGATGATGGCGATGAAAAACAAAAGCAATTACAGTATGGCAAGTCGTTTGTTTCTGTGATGTCCTTCGAAACATTTAGGCTGGTTCAGTGGTGATGACGACGATGGTGTTGTTGTTGCTGTTAATGTTGTTGTTGTTAATGTTGTTGTTGTGTTGTTGATGTTTTTTTACATTACCAACATTGACTTACATATTTTTACGTAATCTTTTGCCAACATTTTACAAAATTGTTTTCACATGTGTTTACACAGTTGTTTACAGAATTGTTTACACGTGTGTTTGCACAACTGTGCACATAATGTCATGCGCGAAAACGGACTTCTGTTTATTTTGTATCGCTTGTTCCTACAATCGATTTTGAAATAGTACCTACGTCTGTATGTATGCATGCATGTATAAATGTATGTTTGTATGTATGTATGTTTGTATGTATGTATTTATGTATGTTTTTTTGTATGTATGTATGTATGCCCGTGTTTGTATGCATATATTAGCGTGTGTGTATTTGTATGTCATCTTCATCATCACCACAACGTACCATCCTCAACTCATCTAATCTATCTTTTATCCGGTGACGATAATAAGGTAGCTGGGTGGGTAACCATAGAAACAAAAAAAATTCCTCTTAGTCAGAAAAATTTTTTAATTAAGTTTCATCGCCACCTGTCCAAATGGCTATTGTTTGAAACTTTCTTATTGTTAGTAACGTGTGTCCTTGACTGAATGGAAGAACGAATGGGTAAATGAATGAACAAATAATTGAATGAATGAAAGAGTAAACAAAGAATGAATGAAAGTAGTGGAGGAATAATGATGCCGGTGATAAATGTACGATGAGTGGGTGGAAAGATGGGTGAGTGCTTGATCATTGCGGGGTCCTAACATTGTCCATGTATCTAGTGCATCGCCATCGTCGTCGTCACGAACATCAAAGACGCTTCCAACGCAAATGCTTCTACTGAGTGCATGGTGCATGATTTATAATAATAATAATAGTAGTAATAATAATAATAATTATTATTATTATTATTATTATTATCCATATTATTATTAATATCATCGTCGTCACCATCTTCATCATTCATGCTATTCCTGCTTCTCATTATCATTCATCACTTCTTCTCCGTAATGATATAATAAGCCTAATGTATATTCCTTTGATCATTCGTTCGTTCGTTCGTTCATTTATTTGTTTGCTTAATCATTTACTTATTCACTCATTCATTCTCTAATCTATGAAACTCTGTAAACAAGCTCCAAAAAGTTTCATCCATAACTTTTACCCAACCTCATGTCAAAAGAACATTACAAACGTCATCTTGGATCTTATGACAAGTTTATCCACCAAACAAAAATCAAATAAAAATTTACTAAATGAAACCTTTGCATCGAATCTTCAAAAATATTTTAATACATCTCGATAAGCTTGGCAGTCTGTGAAATTAGCATGATATATTTGAAAAAAATATTCTATCATTATAAAAGTAACAAGATTAAAGTGCTCGTATAACCACTGTTGTAATATCAATCTTGAATTTGAATACGCCCGCAGATAAGGAGAGATTAAATATATTGTCGAATTTGATGCCAGATTATAGTTTTATGTCTTGAAACCATCATCGGTTAAAATCTACCATCCATATTATAACCTTCCTCGCTTTGAACTAAATTGTCATTATCATGTTTTTTCACACATAGTAATATTTTACTAGTACTACTACTACTACTGCTTCTACAAAATACTAGCTTACTTGACATGAAATTTACCATTGCTAATTAACTTAAAGCCAAATTTCTTATACAAATTTATATGGATGGTTGGTTGTTTGGTTGGTTGTTTGGTTATTTGTTTTGTTTGGTTGGTTGGTTGGCGGATGTTCAGCTGTTATATATAATTTATCTGTATGGGATTAACATAGCATGCTACACAAAAAAGTGCAGATCTGACGGTTATGATGACGATTGTGATGATGATAGTGACGACGACGATGATATGACGATGATGTGGCGATGATGGCTACCAATATAAGCAGAAGGCTTTGCAGAGTAACTTGATTTATGAATAAAATTGCGTTATAATGCTACATACAATGCGATATTTATTCTATAACTATTACTGCTACTGCTGCTACTACTTTGACCACTACAACTATTACTCATATTACTATTGGTGTAGATGATGACAAGATGATGTTATTGATGATAATATTAATGTTGTTGTTGTTTATGATGACGAAGATGGTGATGACGTTGTTGTTGTTGCTGCTAATGACGACCTTGAACTAATACAGGAACTAACTTCCTACTTAATACAGTTCGCATCGATGACGTCACGTACCAACAAATCCAATAAAACAACACAACAACCACAAATGCAACAACAACCACAACTACAACCACAACTACAACAATAAAATGAAAAATAAAATAAAAATGTACCACAAAAACCTGAAAATCAGATTATAACACGTGAATAAATAGAAAGAAATAATCAGAGTTATAAACTATACCTATATACTTACATATACACATAGAGATCTTCAAGCATACAAAGATACTTATTCACATCATTGCATACATAGCAGGAGAAGCATCACATCACAAATGGAGCAGTTAAGTCGTGGAGAGAATGCTAAAAGATAAAAAGCAATTTGGAAGCAATAACTCCGAGGTGAACAATATAATTATTAAAACCAAACACGCGGTGAAATATCAACAACTGAAATCTCTCATTCAAAGTTTGGAACCAAATCTCTCGAGAAAAGACCGCTGAAAATAAAAAAACTACTCAAACGAACGGCAAGAGACAGCAGAGAAATATGAAAGCTTGCAAGAAATCATTGAGGAGAACCCGCGGAAAATATGGAAACTTGAAACTACTGGTCGGAGGATAGCCCAAAGAAAATTATAAAACTTACAACCAATCAAACTTTTGAAGAAAGCCGCGGTATATATAAAAACTTGATACATACATACATACACAGACACAAACACATACATACATACACAGACACAAACACATACATACATATACACATACATACGTAGACACAAACACATACATACATATACACATACATACATAGACACAAACACATACATACATATACACATACATACATAGACATACGTACATAAGGCCACACATAACTTACAATTAATTTTCATGAAGGGTATAAAAAAAACTCCGGTAGATAATACTACTTACGAAAGTTACACTGCTACTACTACTACTACTACTACCACTCCTAAAAATGTTAATACTGTTACTGCACTAGCAAAATATTTTTTTTCAAATTTCCTTTGAATTAGTCTTTATATGTTATTTTCGCCTTCACTTGCCAACTAAAAGAGAAAAATTTTTTTCAATGGTTTATTTCAACTTTGGTAGTAATTGTAGTAGTAGTAGTAGTAATGACTAATGTAGTAGTAGTAATAGCAGCAGCAGTAGAAGTAACTGAAGTAATAGTAGCAGTCAAATTATGTAAACTTGAGAAAAGGATGCGAACCTCTCAAGAAA